TGTATTAAAAACCTATTCAAGAAGATATCCTTTCTCCCCAATGATTTTCTGAATGGTGTCTGGGAACTCATCTGCTGCCTCTTGGTTGGTGGAAGCTGCTTCTCCTGTTATCTTGACATTTTTTAAGACAAATCTCTTTCTATTTATAAAATTATCAAACCATCCTTTGCTGGCATTAATTCTTCAACTTTATATCCTTTGCCTTCCTTTTGCTTTAAGTTGTCATACAATGACCTCCCTTTTTCTCAAATCATATTAGACTCCATAGGTATGCCTTTCTTATAGCAATCCTACACCAACATAAAAGGTGCATTTTCAATACAAGATAGGTCTTTCAAAAAAGTGCAAAGATTTTGTGCCCGCTGGTGTAGCTGCAGTGACAGATTCACAAATTTCTTTGTGTTGTTTTTTTTTTTTTACAATAGTCCTTATGCTGGCTTCATTTATCTGGACATGGTAGGCAACCGCAGCTGCAGATCTCAATCTGTGGTACATATCAAGCAATTCAACTTTTTCTTGCAATGTCATGACTTGACTCTTCTCTGCATCTTGGGAGGAGCACTTCCACCATCACTAGCCGTACTTTGTAGGGGTTGCATAGTGTTATTCAAGGTTTACAGTATTGCACTAAACGTGATGAAAAATACACCAGAACCACAAGAGATCATTTTTTTTACTGTGATACACAATTTACTGGAGAGACCAACTGCTCATGCCGAGATGATTAGCGTCACACGGCGTTTTAAGTGGATGCTCGGAACACTTGAGCTCACCGCAGTAACAACAGGAGGTGGCTATGAAATTATTACAGTAGTACAGTATGTACTGCAGTTAATTTTATGCAATTATGATTTAATATTGCATCTTTACATTTGTTTACATTTCTGTGCAAATGGCACTGTGTACAATCCATGTGTAAGTTTTAATAAATTTTAACTTTTTATAATGCATTTATATATATTTTATGGTGGTAAATGATAAAACAGACTAGCATCTACAGATATTTTATGCATTCATGCATACTTTTTTCTCAATTTGTTGTTTTTTTTTTTTTGCTATTTCTAGGCCATACAGTTTGCGAGTTTTTTCAAACTGTCATAAATCTTCAAAAAAATTTCCAATATATTTATTGAATAAAGTTCATGTATAAGTGGACCTGTACAGTTTAAGTCCGTGTTGTTCAAGGGTCAGCTACAGTTTTCATTAAGGCCCTACCACATGCACTGCACTGGAGGCCTCCATATACTTCTCACTGAATGCTCAAATCAAACCTTTGACATCGGTTTATGTCCAATGTAAAGACAATAAAACTGAGAGTCTGAGCTGCCGAGTAATTGGCCCAAAGTCACACACGCTTGTAGGTAATGGAAAGGAGATTGGGACAGATATACCTTGGTACTGCTTGGTGTTTCTTTGTAGACTATGCTCATGGGCCATATTAAATTCATACTTTCTGCTACTCCTTTGCTCCCTGTAGTAGGCTGAAAAATGTCCCCCCAGAATATCAGGTCTTAATCCCTGGGTACCATAAATGTTACCTTACAAAGAAAAGCATCTTGGCAAATGCGATTAAGTTAAGGATCTTGAGATACAGCTATTATCCTGGATTATCAGAGGGGGCCCTAAATTCTATCCCATGTGTTCTCAGAAGAGGGAGGAAGAGGGAGATTTGATATACATACAAGATACTAAGGTCTGAATGTTTGTGTCCCCCCAAAATTCTTATGTTGGAAACCTAATCACCAATGTGATAGTATTAGGTGTGGCCTTTGGCAGGTAATTAGGTCATGAAGTTGGAGCCCTCATAAATGGGATTAAAGTTCCTCTATAAGAGGCCCCAGAGAGCTGCCTGGCTTCTTCTACCCTGTGAGGACGCAGTGAGAAGTCAGCAATCTTCAAGCTAAAGGCAGGCCGTCACCAGACATAAACCTGCCAGTACCTTGATCTTGGACTTCTCAGCCTCCAGAATTCTAAGAAATAAATTTCTGTTGTTTATAAACCACACAGTCTACGATATTTTGTTATAGCAGCCCAAATGGACTAAGACAGAGGAGACGATGACTTGAACACAGAGCATGGAGAGAGGTGATGATGCCGGCCTTGCGGACTGGAGTAATGTGGCCACAAGCCAAGGAATGCCAGCAGCCCCAGAAACTGGAAGAGTCAAGGAATGGATTCTCTCCTAGACCCTCCAGAGCTTGTAAGGTCCTGCTGACACCTTGATTTTGGCTCAGCGAGACTGATTTTGGACATCTGGCCTTCAGAACTATGAGAAAATAAATTTCTGTTGCTTTAAGCCACCAAGTGTGTGATAATTTTCTACAGTAGCCACAGGAAACTAATGCAACACCCTTGCCATCACTCACATCACTTAAGACACAGCACCTACATACTCAGGCCCCCGCCCACTGAATGGGAAGCCCACACGTGCCACAGCCTCTCGATGTGTCCCCAATGCACACAGCTCTCTGCCAGGGCAGGCCCACCTGACGGATGGTGACTCCCATGCAGGAAACACCACCAAGAGAAGAGATTGCTCTGAAGAACTGCTTTGGAGAACAGCCTTTTTGCCTCTTAACTTGCAGGGAGAGAAAACAGTAACCACCCCAGTGATAAAGTCTAGTTGGTACAAAAATCAATCAACCTTCTAAGGAGAAATTCAAACATTTTTTTCTGTGCAAAACCTTTTACAAATTACTAGGTTTTCTTTTTCTCAAATGACTTTCTGGATTTCCAGAAGGCAATGAATACACCTCATTTATTCCTATTTTCTATGGTAAATATCCTTGACATCAAAGGTGGGGTTTTACGTCTGAAACAAGGAGTCCTGGCTTAAGGCCAATACCGTATTAAGACATAGCTGGAAAATGCCCAATTCTAGAAGCACATGGTGCAGCTCACCCTGAAGCACAGCCAGAGACTTTTGTTTTCCAGGCCAAGGTTCAAATACAACCTGATTTTTGTGGTGAGGAATAGCCACAATTCAATATTTGGTCAGTGGCCTGGGGAAATGAGGTAGGTTCCCAGGCAGGAAACATGCCGCGGGGATTTGGCATTAACTGGCTCCCAGCAACAGCATTGCAAAGTGGGAGGCTCTGTTGCTGCTCTTTCCTGCACACTGTCTAGCCTGCTCTCACACTGAGATGACCGGACTCCTGGGACAGGTCTCCCACAGCTCAGCCAGGGGGGCAGGGGCGGGTACAGAGGGATGGCCACACAGAGAACAGAGTCTGGGAAAAGTCTGCAGAGAAGAAACTCAACAACGATGGCTCTCATCACCATGGACCAGGCTCCATAAGGCCCCTGCAAGGGGCATCTGTTGTTTCTGTCCCTGGCTTTCCTAGGTATAGCATGGTTCTCCTTTGGGGACCCTGCCTGTCACTGCATGCAGTCTTGATGGCACTGTCCATCACTTGCCCTAACCTCAGGCTCACAGGGGCTGGGCACGCAACCCTAGCTGGTCCAGGAAGATTCTTGTTCCTGAATGGAAAGATAACAAATAGGGGCAAATGCCTGAAGCTGATATTTCCTTGATAGTGGAGCCCAATGTACACTTTCAATAAATTCCTTTTTACTTCTGAGATAACTCAGGATCAGGTGGCCTGCTGTTAAAAAACCTTGGCACAGCCACCAAATTCAAGGTCTCCCCAGCCAGGCCCTGCTTGCCTTTCCCACTCCCTCTTCCCCATTCCCAGCCCTGGCTACTCACTGGAGCCACCTGCAGGCTTAAATAATACCAATGCCCAGGGCCCTTCCCTGCCAAAATTTTTATGTCAATGGGCTGGAGTGGGGCATTCTCTAACAATCCACAGGGGCGTAATGCTTAACAGGGTTGACAACTACCATTCTCAAGACTCTTCATGGCCAACCTGCCCATGCATCATCATCAGAACCCACTGCCACTTCCACACCTGCACCCCTCACACTGCCTTTACCTGCCAGCAACCCACACGATGGGCATATCAGTCTTTTTGCACTCTTTCCTGCCATTCCTCTTCTCAAAAGCCTTCCAGGGCTCCCCAATGCCTCCAACGTGTAGTCTGAGTCCTTCAGCCTAGCTATTAACCTCCTCCATTCCCCGTTTACTTTCCAATCTAAATTCACCATTCACTGCTCCCTTCTGGGACCCCTAGCCCAGTCCAATTTTTCTATTACCTGTTTTCTAGATTTACAGAGTTCTTAGTGCAAACAACAAAGCCTGGTCAAGTTTCAACTGGAAATGAGGCTATGAGTTATTTCACATAATCCGTAGGAGGCCAGAGAATGGTATCAGGGTATCCCACCAGACTGCACCAATGCAGAAGTGCTGCCAACATCTGGCCGAGGGTGCTGCCCTTAGTTCTCCTGTCTTTGCTGTCTCAATGCCACTGTCACACATTGGCACTGTCCCCAAGAAGACTCCATGTGGCTGCTGCTCCTTGCAACCACTCTCTTCACAGTGAGACTCTTGTTTCAGTGCACGAGATTGGTGCAGCCCAAGTCACATGCTGCACCCTGCCTGTGAAGAATTTGGGGAAGCAAGTTTCTGGCCACTGGCTTGGGGAAACAGGACTCAAAAAGAGGGGAATTCCCCAAACATAAGCAGAGTACCCAAAAGCTGCTGGGTGGCCTAAAAGCAAGACCAATAGACTTGGCACCATGCTTTCTTCCCTCCCTCACCCCTAACGGTCCATAAGTCCCCTGCTAGAGCACATTCTCTGTTTTTGTTGGTTTGGTGTTTTTTTTTTGAGACAGAGTCTCACTCTGTTGCCTGAGTGTCAGCTAGAGTGCTGTGGAGTCGGCCTAGCTCACAGCAACCTCAAAGTCCTGGGCTCAAGCAATCCTTCTGCCTTAGCCTCCCAAGTAGCTAGGACTACAGGCATGTGCCACCATGCTCGGATAATTTTTTCTATATATTTTTTAGTTGGCCAATTAATTTATTTCTATTTTTAGTCTTGCTAAAAATAGCGAGACGGGGGTCTCGCTCTTGCTCAGGCTGGTTTCGAACTCCTGACCTTGAGCAATCCTCCCGCTTCGGCCTCCCAGAGTGCTAAGATTATAGGCGTGGGCCACCGCGCCTGGCCTGTCCTCTTTTAAGGTACCATCTCTCTGCTCAAGGAAAGAACATGGACTCTGGAACATGGCAGATCCCAGCTCAAATTGCAAGTGTTGGTGACGCTGGGCAATTCTGCAGAGTGAGGATAATGATATCCTCGTGCTGATGATGTTATGAGGAACGGAGATAAAATACAAAGGCCGGCCTTTTGGCTAGCTGGCCCCAGTCCTCTGGCCAGCCTTGGCAGCAGAATCATGGAACAGAAGGAGCAACAGGAAGTACTTTGAACAAGAGACCAAATGCCTCATTTTCTGGGCCCCTCATATGTCCCTTGAATTTTGATACAACATGGGAAAGAGGAAACCCTCCCCCCTAAAATGTTACTGAGATTAAAATTTTCACCACATTGAAAATAGAGGCTTAAAGCCAGGTTTAACTTTCTTCTAAAAAATAATGTGAAGTTTCTTATGCTTAGGTGTTAAGGATAGTTGTGTAGTTACAACTACACAAGCGATTGATAGTTCTTATCTCAACTGGAGAGTTTCGTCATTCCTAATTCATCCTTTTCTAGTCTTTGAGTCAAAGAATCCCTTCCACTGTTACAGATCAGTGATCCTCACCCCTGTAGTTTAGGTTATAGGAACCACAGGGATCTGCTTACAGTGAGATTGTAATTCACTTGGTGTGGTGTGGCCCAGCACTCTGCATTTTATAATGTCCCAGTAGAGGCTGATACTGCTGGTCCATGGACCAAACGATGAGTACTACCCAGAGTGCAGGCAACATCTCTGGCATGAAGTCCACTCAACCACTCTATTAACAATTCTGGCAACGTATAAGCTTACTTTATAAACAGCCACTGCCCCAGACCCTGCATCAGGTGGTATTTGTGGGCTTCTCCAAGACTCCACCCCTATATTTGATGTCCCAACTAGAGAAATATTAAGCTCCTTGAAAGGAGGAACCAACCTCTTAATCTCTATGGTACAAATGACATTATACACACAATTTAAGTTTCGTAAACACTTCATAAACGAACCACCAAATGAAACGCAAAAATCTGCTGGAGTGATCGAAGCAGGCTAAAGCCAGCCCAGGCAGGCTTCCTGGAGAAAGTGGGCATGCAAGAAATTGGATAATGAATCTCTAAAATCTAAGAAGGAGAACAGCTTGTTCCTTCAGAAGTTCCCTTCACCCTCGAGACAGCAACCTTCAATCACCAAGGCGACCTATTTGCTGAACCTGTCAAGACAAACTTGAACTTGAAAAAGTGACAACCTATCAGCTGTCTTTTAAATATAGAAAATATGCAGCTGTCATTTCAACATGGTATTTAATCCTTCAGAATGGCAGCATATAGAAAGACACATAAATTTCCCAGAAAGCTTTGTCTCTGCTGAGTATATCATGCCTTTCAAAAAATTATAATACATATTATAATATATGTGATATATATTTACATTATATGTTCTATAATAAATAAAGCCTAATAGAATAGATAAGGTCCAATAACTGGCTCTGGCCCAAATACCCTATGTGTAGTGTTTTATTCCTAAAGTAGGGTGGATTCCCCCCCTTCTCCAGAGAAAGAGAATGGCTTTCCCCTACCAGTTCAATGTCCACCACTCGTGCCAGTTGGGCCTGCCTCCCACTCCCGCAATGCCTTTGCTTTCACACCAGTTGGACATTTCACAAGTGCAATAGCAACTTGATGCTGCAGCCTTGCTTCCTGAGCCCATGCTGTCAGGTTCTGGTAACACCACCACTCCCCAACTACTCAGCCACCCTGGAGATGTGTAAAGCAGTGGGATGAGATGTTTAAAAAGCCCTCCGCCTGCCAGAACAGCTCTTATACACACAGTAAGTACAAACAGGACATTTTGTCACATGTCTAAATTGGCAGAAACCCTAAAGTCAGAGAACAGTAAAGTTTTCCAGCCCGAGAACATCCCTCTTACTCAGATTTGCTTTCAGCATTGGGGCGGGTTCCTGCCCGACACGCACGTTTTCCATCTGAAGCTAAACAATGAAGGATGTAGGCGATCTCTCCTCTGTGGAGGAAGACTTTGGGAAGCGGCAAAGCTGCCCAGATATTAACTCAGTCACCAAATATTTATGCAGCGCTTACTAAGTGCCAGGCTAGATGGAAAAAGAGCTACCAAAAAGACAATAATTACAAGATCAATCTTCTTTGATAATTAGGATTCCAATTCAGCAGGTGGGACTCAAACCCACCAACTTTGAATTCCCAAAACAAGAGTCTAAGATGCCAGCGAACACTTACTGGTGCCCTGGAGCTTGGCAAACGTCCTGACCACTGAGCACAGAGCAGGTCGTCAATAAATGGGTTGTGAATGATGAATGGCTGGGCCAAGGCTACAGTTCTTGGAAGGTGAGACTTTTCAAAGAGAAGCTTATGGAGATTGAACCTATCTTGTAAGATATGACTAAGGCAGGACTTGTGCTTACCTTGTATCCCTTTCACCAGGGTTGACAGAATTTATTAGTTTTCTATTGCTGTATAACAAATTATCAAAAACTGAGTGGCTTAAAACAACACCTATTTATTAGCACCCAGTTCCATAGACCTGGGACCCAGGCAAGGCACGGAGGGATCTCTGCTCAGGGTCTTATGTTTTAGGGCAGGCTGAGTTCTTTACTAGAAGTTCTAGGGGGGTGGGGGGGGAGGAATCCACCTCTCAGTTCATTCAGGTCCCATCTCCTTGCTGGCTGTTAGTGCCCGGAGATTGCCATGTGGCTCCCACCATCTCCAACACCCATAGCAGAGAAGTTCCAAAGCCCGCAGCAGAGTTCTCCCTTGTCAAATGCCTCCCTTGCTTTGACTCTCTGACTTCTCCTGTCTCTGATCTCTAGACCCAGTTTTTAAAAACTCGTGTGACTCAGTTAAACCCACACAGAAAATCTCCCTATTTTAAGGTCAACAGATTTGGGAACTTAATTACTTCTGCAAAATCCCTCTGCTGCAACCCCTAGGTTAGTGTTTGATTGAATAGCTGGGTACACATACCCCAGGGGCTAGGAACTTGGGGGGGCATCTCAAAGTCTACCTACCACAGGGAAAGGAGGAGAGGCAGGGGAAGTTGCAGTGGCTTCCTAAGGATCATGGTGTGGGTGGTCTCCTTCTGTTTCAGGGCCAGTAGCCACTGTCAGGGAATTTCAACCCATCAACCTATTGGTGTGTATCCCCTGCCCCCCAACCCAGTAAAGAAGGTTCAAGAAGGATGAGAGTGCAGAGAGCTGCAGGAGATAACACCTGTGGCCCCCCACCTGAGAAATGTCTAAGATGGCTCCTGTCACGGAGAAAGATCAGCGTAGGCTGGAGTGGTCCAGGAAGGCTTCAAGGAAGAAGTGGGGACTTGAGACTGTCGTTAAAGAATGGCTAGACCATTACACCACAGAGAGGATAAATGAGAGCTACTGTGACCTAGCTCAGCTCCCTCAGGCTGACTCCTAACCAGAGCCTGAGCAATGTGGGGGCAATTCAGGCCTCTGTGCTGGGAATGAGGAGGTGCTGAGTGGAAGCAGAGTCACTGTCTGCCTATGGAGGCCTGTGGCAGCAACGAGACTTGGGAAAACCATGAGCCAGAAGTCTGGCTAATGTCAAGGAGAACTCACTGGTATCAGCTGCTCTGCCAGGACCACGTTGCTATGAAGGGTCATCTCTTGTTCATTCTGGGAACACAACCAGGCCTGCATTTTGACCCAAACTGCAATGCAACAAATGCTGTCACCTCAGGCCCAGCACCAGAGATTCAATTGTGCTGTTTTACTCCTTAAAACCCTGAAATGGCTTCTAAGGATAAATTTCAAACCCCTTAGCTATGGTCTTGTCTGGAACTGGCTGATCTAGTCCACCAGGCCAGGCTCTTGCCGCATTAAAGGGGGAGCTGTGGAGTTAAGCAATCCCTTTTCACCTTCACAAAGCCTGGCTTTCAAGATAAGTGCCTGGCTAAAGAGGTCAAGAATTTCAGCCTCTGGCCCCAAAACTGATCCACAACACTCTGTCCCAGGGAGTGCCTGCTTTTTCCTGCCCTCGGGTGATAGACCTCATGGCTCATCCTTGAGGGAAATGGCTGCAAGTGAATGCAATTTAAGGGAGAAATATAAACACATTGGTTTAATATTTTCAAAATGTTACCCCCACTTTCCATTATCTTGAGCACTCTTTTGTCAATAAGCAGATGAAATCGCCTGCTAAGAAATAATGTTTAGAGTTGTATCATTGAGCTAACATCCTCTTCAACAGCGCTTAGCGAGAACTGTCAAACACCACCCTAATCACTTGCATTTCATGGTTGTGTCTGGCAGGTATATACGGTTAAAGCTAATAGTCAGGGGCCGATTGGCACCGACTGCTGCTCATTTGCTCGGGGGAGAGCAAATCTTAAGTGTCTTCCATGATGACGTGACTTTTTGGAGGCCTCAGAGGAGTCAGGACCCTTTCTGACATCTTTAGACTAACCAGAACACTTCTGAGGAGTGATAAACATCTACTGAATGCATGCCCAAGGGAAAACAGAACAGTGCTTCTCAATTCCAGGCTGAGACTCGTTCATTTATTTATTCAGTCAACAAATATTCATTGACCATCTGCTATGTGCCAGGCACTGTGTTGGAATGGAGGTACGCCGTGCAGCAAAATTAGGGAGAGCTCCTGCCCTCAAGGAACTAGAAGGGAGACATACACCAATCAAACGACCGCACAATTAAATATGAAATTCCAACTGTGAGTCTTGTTTCAAGGACGGTTTAATGAAGTCGGGGAGCAAGGCCCAGCCTCCCCAGGGAGAGCTGAGGGAGGAGAAAGAGACTAACTTGGGGAAGGGATGGGGTGAGGGGTAGGTAGAGCATAGAGCAGGACAGAAGAGCATTTCAGAGGCGACAACAGGCACACAGGCCGGGTAGGGTGAAGGGCCCAGCCATGTTGTGATGAAGAAATTTAAGCGGCGCCAATGGGATAAATAATTAAGGAGTGTTACAGACTAAGGTGAGTCCCCCAAAAATTCATATGTTGAAGGCCTAACCCTCAATGTGACTGTTTTAGGAGATGGGGCCTTTAGGAGGTAACTGAGGTAAAATGAGGTAACAAGGCTGATTTGATAGGACTGGCGTCCTTATGAGAAGAGGCAGAGACACGAGGAGTGCAGATGCGCAGAGAAGGAGCCACTTGAGGACACAGGACAGCAGCTATTTGCAAACCAAGGAGCGGGGCCTGAGAAGAAAGCAACCCTGCAGGATTATAGCTTGCAGAGCTGTGAGAACACAAACGTCTGTAGCCCCCCAGTCTGTGGTGCGCTGCACTGTGGCCCGAGCAGAGTAAGGCCAGCAGAGAATGGCACTCCGTAGAGTAAGGAGAGGCAGCCGCCGCGACGGCCTCTGTCTAAGGCTTTGGTCTGTGGTTGGCACCGCGGCCATAGGAAGCCATGACTGGCTGCAGTTTGCTGGGGGTGGAGGTGGGTTGGGGTGTCCACAAGCTCGTAGTGGCTGCAGGGGAAAGAGCAGCCAGACCGGGGCAAGAGCAGATACAGGGGCAATTCCAGATGGGGGGGCAAGAGCAGATGCGGGTTCTTCCAGGGATGACTCAGAGAGGAGGCTCGCTGGAAACAAAGTAGAGAGGGCAGCTGGGGAGCGGGAGCTCTTTGAAGGTGCTTGGAAAGGAAGGTGTGCACCAGGGAGCAAGGCCACACCATTCACTTACAGGAAGGGACAGCAGCCATGAGGACCAGTCCTCTCTCTGGTGCTCAGGAGGCAGCCAAGGAGCAGAGGTGGAGAGTCAGCGGGGTCGTCCCAGGGTTGCAGACTGGCCGGTGGGGTGGGCGGAAGGAAAAGGAATGGGAGTTGATAGTGTCACCCAAACAGTGGATCAGGGGGCCTTGCCTAGTACAGCCAGAGAGGGCTCCTCGACTCCCCCATTCAATATTCTTCCTCTGCACTGTCTCAACTCACAAGTGGCTTTTATTCTGAGTGGTTTCTGCACTGCTCAGTTTGGCAGCCCCGCCAGGCTCGCAACTGAGACAGATGAACTGGCTTGCTAGCGAATGGGGACTGGGCTTCCGTGTTCCCGTCCCCAGAAACGATGCCTCTCTCCAGCAGAGAAATGAAATCTCTGAGACAGCCTGATTATAAAAATAAAGCAGCATTATTATATCTGTCTGCCAGGCTGATCTCAGACCACTTGCAATGCATGATAGATATCACAAATAGAAACATAAACCTGAAATGCCATTTATTACAGCCTCATCTACATCATTAAAGGGAAGAAGAGAAGAGAGGCGATAGTCAGAATATTTGAGGCAAAACTTTTTCCTGAAATAGCCAGACATTTGAGTTAAAATAATAGCCTCCACTAAAACAGTCACCAGTTTAATTTTGGTGGCATTTCCCTGAGAGACTGGGTTGATGTATCCTTTTACACCACAGAAAAAGCCTTTTCTGAGAAAATTAATGGTGAAAACATGTTTTCTTAAACTAGTCAAGAAAACAACTACCTAAAAATTGTTATGGGCACTTCAGAAGCATTTCAAGGCATCCACTTGTGTGTAATCCTTGCTGTACACTAGCGGATAGGAATTGATTTTTGAAACTAATTGTGTTTTTGGTTATGGCCGGCACATGGGCTACAGAATTTTAGGAAGTCACTGAAAAGGCAGCTGGAGAAACAGATGAATAAAATGCCAAGCCACTGACAAATGAAGGTCTGTCTGAATTAGACCAGTTAATCCTGAAAGAATGGAAAATTGACAAGGATAATGCCAAGACAGATGCTTCCATGAGGGTGATTTAAATAGCAAAGAATTAAGAGAAGACCTGTTCATGCTCTTGCTGAGAAAATCAAACACAAAGGCTATCATATAGCTTGGGCAGAAAAATCATGCCCTCGAGCTCCACACAGTCATTCTAAATAACAGTTACAAGAATTAACATATGGTTGTAATTGCAACCTTTATTTACAAAATACAAGGTAAGTTTCTTCTTATAATTTTCACTTTCAAATCCAAATCAAACCTCTTTTTACATGAAATATTGGACCCCACTTTAAGGGAACTAACTTTAAGAGTTCTTTTAGGGTATTGATTGTCCTCAGATCAAGAGGACCTGCTGTCAACATCTCAGTGTTCTCTCTCTCTCTCTCTCTCTCTCTCTCTCTCTGTCTCACTTTCTCCCACTCCACTCCTTTAATTTGGTCTCTAAATCTGGGGTCTAAAACCCCAGAGGATGTGATTCTGATCTCCTTCTCCCCTCTTCTTCCTAGCCCATTCCACAAATATCTAAATGTATATCAACTTTTTAGAGTAGTCTATTACAACATCAACTCTCAACCCCTTTATCCACCCAAATACACATGATGGCTATCATCCATATTCAAGATATTCCCCCATAAGCAACCCAAGTCCATATGTAATTCCTGAACAAGATGTAACTCCTTCCCTTTCCTTCTGACTTGGAAGATCAAATCAGAGAGCAAAAGAATGTAATTATTATAGAGTCCTGAATCTTCTATGATGTTTCTTTAATTTTGTAACTTCATGATTATCTGTAAAAGTCTTGTTTCATAACTATAGTTGAAAGCAAGTCACTGCCCTACAGTTCTCTGGGAGGTAGCTGTAACCAAGTCCCAATGACTTTATGCTCTTGAAAGTTACAAATTAAAACTGTATTTATTTTATACTTTGTTGTTCCACATTGAGCGGGTGACATGTGACAGCAAGCCGTCCATGCAGTAGACACAACATGGGTGTTCATGGCCCCAGATGCTATCGGTGTTGGGACCATGGACATCCAAGGGAGAGATCAGAAAGATAAGATGGAAGGTCCTAGAAAGCCTTGCTTGAAAGGAAGCCTTGTTTTGCACATCCTCAACATTCAAGGGAAAGAGTCAAATCCACCAGTTTCTTTTCTCCAGAATAAGCAGAAACCTAGCCCAGCAACCTCTGTTCTGATATTGGACAAGTATTCCATGTCCACATGAGCCATAACCTTGCAACAGGAAGCAAGTCTAACACTAATTTCTCACTGAGCTGACAAGAAGGAGAAGACACTCCTGTTTTCAAGAATGTGCACTTTTGCATTATTATTGTTTCTCCTGCAAATTGCTGGAGAGCCAGTAGGCATCCCAGCTCCTCTTTCTCTCACACAGCTCCCAATTTGTTTTCATCATTTGCCAGCCCAGCACCTCAACTAGGCAGGCATGATACGGAAAGATGCAGAAAGGAAAATTAATATTTTCTACATGGGCTTCCTCATCTTGGGTAGATTTATGAATTTGTTTCTGTTATGCAGAAGTTAGCATTTTTAACAACAAAGGAGTAAACTTCGTAATTGTTTTTTTATTGCCTCAAGAGCTCCAAAGACATTTTGTGCTATGTCGTCATTTACATTTCACATTAAATTCAAGATATGTTTGAAATGAGCAAATATTTATTTTAATTTGATCCATCTGTGAAATGAAATACTAAAAAGACAGCTAAATCACTACATTAAATTCAGCGATTTGTAAACAATTTATATGTTCATTTGTTCTGGGTTAAAAATGCCCCAAAGCACAAGTTTTATGAAACCCACAAAGTAAATTGCATTGTACTAATCTGATGGATGCAGGCCACGGTTTCTTCCTCTTCACTCCATTAATTTATTTCCTAACTTGAGTTAATTAGTGAGGTTCCTATTTTTAAAAGCTCTTTGAAATTCATTGGGAGAGGAGGACATTTTTCGGGAACTGCTTTGAAAACCTACTGCAGAGAAAATGGGCTAAATACAAACGGTAAATTCCCCCAGGACATTACCGCACATTGAGCACCTGATTGCCATTCAACAGTCTTTATGCCGGAAAGCAGTGGGTGATTAATATACAGTTACAAGAAAGAAGGAAAGAGCTAGAAGGAAAGAATGAGAGCAGCAGTGAGAACAAACGCATTCCAGGCGGTTACTAACATGATGAGATGATCACCAAGGTCCCATCCATCTCTAAATAAAAGTCTGTGGCATTCTGATTTTATGCTACAAAATGGAAACTGACTTTGACTTGGAACACTTACTGAAGAAAGAATAGGCATCTACTCAGAGAAATACAAAAAACACCGAGAGTAGGCAAATAATTGATTAGGCAAATTAATTATTTTTTCCTTTGGTCAAAGGCAGCCTTAATGCCTTTGAAGGTAGCTGAAGACTACTTCCTAATTCCTGTCTACTCCCTAATTCTCATCCACTCAGGCCAGTGCCCAGCACGCTCCCGCACTCAAAAAACAAAAAGGAAATTAAATTCATTCACACAAAAGTATAAATGATAGATAACAATTTAAGAAACACCTAAGGGGCTATGTAGGGAAAAAAAGAGAACTAGCCTTTCAATAAATGTTCAAGCTTTAAGCAAATGCAATGTCCATGTCCATTTCTTCCTGGAATATTCTGAGTCAGTGGGTCATAGAGATTGAATTGGGTTGGGTGAATTGGGATCCTAAAGCCCCAGGTAATAGTTCCTCCAGAAAGGCTGGCCCTAGGAGGCAGCAACACCACCAGGCTAACCTACATAGCACCTTCCTTGTCAAAGTCCTGCCTCATTTCATTGCCTTCACCCCATGCCTGTGGACGCAGCAGGCAGACACTCCTTTCCCTGCCCCAAGAAGCAGGGTGAGGCTCTCGGAGTGTGAATTAGGTCTTCTCTAAGCCTCCTCTATAAAATGGAAATGCAAAACACCTAGCACAACCTCTGATGCAGAGTAGCCATGCACATGTATTAAGTTCTCTCATCTCATTTTGCACAGACCCAGAGTGAAGTCAAGACAGAGTAAAGTCACCGGCATGCCAGAAGCCAGGGCAGGGCTGACACATGACCCGGTTCTTTCCATCTCTAAGTGCCTTCCAGTTTTCTCTCACGTCTGACTCCTGTCCCCTGGAACCTGTTGCTCAAGTTCCCCACACCAAAAACAAACATCACCATGATTTATTCCTTTCCTGATGCCACAGGGGTAAGGACAGAGGGGAGAACGGGACACATTTGTTATATCCACTCCCCCTTGACTCACATTCACGCATCCACAATGCATTCCTTTTTCTTGTTTCTGCTAAAGAAAAAACAAAAAAAAACTTTTTAAAACCCTTTGCTCACACACACTTCATGTGTCTCCAGTGAAGCCCAGTTTCCGAGGGGGCAGCCAGCAAGGCCACTCTGGGGCCTACAGACCTGTGGGCTCCCTTCAAATACTTTCTTTAAATACAGAAAAGGCCTCAACTTTAAATACTTTGTATCACAACGCAAGGTTAGAAAGCTAGCAGATTTTTCAGCATGGGATCTCCCAGAACATAGGTATTCTGGAAGATCAATCGAGTTCCAAAAATCTGTGAAATCGGATTTTCTGGATCAGGTATACAGGCCGCCCGCTGTGTTCCTCTGCTCTGGGAAGGAACAGACCCTGCCACGGCAGACACCCCGGCACCACCCTGGGGAGGCCACCCAGGGAGTGAAATAGCAGCCTGGCCAGTGTGTAGCCCCCACAGCCTGGTTTCTCTGAAGGAGGAGGAAAATGGGAACAAAATCTAATTGCCTGAGAAAGGCTCTCTGGGGTAAAGACAGGGCTAGATAAGAACGAGCCCTTTATCTCTGCCACAACGTGGTCCCTTCCACAGGACTTTCACCTCTCCTGCATTGCCTAGTTTGTCCCTGCAACTTCCCAGTAGTATTGTCCCCATTTTAGCCGAGATACTTTGTGATCTGCCAACAGTCCCGGCAGCGGTGCTGTGGCACACACCCAGACCTGAGTCCTGTGTGCTCTCTCCCCACAACCCACCAGAGACCCCCCAAACAGAGAGAAGGAACGTCCAGAGCCCCAGATCAATGCCCTCCGCCTGCTATACTACTCTTCCACCTCCATGAACTTAGGTTCACACGTTTGGGGCAACACTCCCACTCCTCCACGGGACGGGGACCAGGGGCTGCGGCCGGGCTGGGGTGGGGGTGGGGGGCTGCTCCCTGGTGGCCCCAGCACTCACTCAGGAAGATGATGGTCTGCCTCCGGGCGGTCCTGCTTTCCTCGCTCTCGGCCTTTCTCAGCGGCAGCTGCCTCCCGCTCTCGGCGCGCGCGCCCGGCTTGCTGCCCATGAGCACCTGCATCATGTTCCAGCACATGAAGGCCACCGACGACAGCACCACGAGGTAGAGGACGAAGGCGCCGAAGATGCTGGACTGAAACACGGTCCAGCGGCTGGAGAGGTTGGTGCAGATGGACATGTTGGAGTCCTCGGGGTGCTCGTGGTGGCGCGTGCGCGAGCGGTTGCAAGTGAGCCCGCGGTGGCTAGGCACGTTCACCAGAGGGTACTCGGTACCCATGGCAAAAAGCAAGGGCAGTGCCACCAGGGCGGAGGTGATCCAGACGAAGCCAATCAGCAGCTTCACCTGGCAGGGTCCGGACACGGCCTTATATCGGAAGGGGTGACAAATGGCGACGTAGCGCTCAAAGCTGAGCGTCAGCACGTGCAGCAGCGTGGCGTAGCTGCAGGCCTCGAAGAGGAAAGTGTACAGCTTACAGGACAGGGAGTAGCTGGGCGTGGTCCAGGGGCTCCAGATGATGCTGTAGAACTCCATGGGCATGCCGATGAGGAACACCAAGATGTCCGAGCAAGCCAGACTCACCATGTGGTCCGTCACCTGCTTCTGCAAGTAGCCCTTCTTCTGCAGCACCTGGGTCACCCGAATGGTGATGCTGTTCCCCAAGATGCCCACCACAAAGATCACCAGGTACACCAGGATGAGCGTGATTTTGAGCCAGGTGGCCACCTCAAACTCCGGGACATGGCTGTGATCGATGACATGGGAGCAGTCACTGCCGGGGCTGCCGGCTGAAGCCATGAGGAAGAGACAACGCCACCAGGTCCAAGGAGTTTCTCAACTTCCCCTTCTCCTCCCAGCAGAGCCCAAAGTTCTTGGCTGCAACTCACCTGAGTGGGCGCAGGATTTTTTCTCACTCGAATTCTCCTGGCAAATGTAACTTAGTATTTCAGGCGCTTTCATGGAAACTTCCTGGAGTAGCCTAACCTAGGAGAGGCCCCACAGGCGGCTGGGGGTGGGGTTTAGGGGTGTGTGTGAGCAGGCGGGGGAGGGCAGAGGAAGGAGGGCCCAAGCTCCCCCTGCCCCTCTGCGCCCTGGGCCCGCTCTTCGCTCTTCGTCTGCCTTGCAGCCCTAGAGCCTCCAGCTGCCGGGACGTTTGCCGCCTCGGCCCGCCCTCCAGGAGCGCCCTCTCTGGAGCTGCGGAGGCGAGGCGGGGTGGCCAGTGATCAATCATTAACCACAGCAGATTGTGCTCAGCCACCGGCTGCAGACCCAGCCCAGCGGCGGGTTTGACTCAGCACATAGTCATGCTCTCTGGAATCAGATCTTGCCTCCCGAACACCAAGAGCTCCCGGGACGGGGTGGCCCCTCTCCCCCCTCACCCAGTCTGCGGGGAGCATCATCCAGGAAGGTGCAGCCTGGGGAAGCCGGAGTGCCCTCCCGGGCTTGGAAGAGCGCAAACTTCCCCTGGCCCGCCCCTGGACCTGCTCTCACCCCCACCGCTGTCCTGGGACCGCTTCGAGGTTGGGTCGCGGCCAGTTTGGGGGTGGCTTGACCCGGGCGCCCGCCGCCTCCGCAGCCAGCCGGCAGCCCTGGTGGAGCGGTGAGCGCGCCTGCTGCTGCCCCGCCTCTGGGGCGCTCCGGTGCTGGCCGCGAGTGGCCGGGCTGTGCGCTGCCTGGAGCCGCTGCCTCGGGTAGTCGGCCCCACTCAGGCTGATAGAGCCCTATAAATGCCCTGCCCTTGCTTCGCCTTCCGCCTTGCTACCGAGGGAAGAGCACAAAGGACGCGGGGGTCCCTCCTTTCCCTCTCACTCCCAGGTGCAGGCTGCTCTCCCCGCAATGATAGGTAATCTTTAATTGGGGACATGTATATGAATGAGGATGGCACAGTCCGCCAGGATGCCCTGGGTGGGGAAGCCCGTCCTAGGCCTGGGAGGACAGCAGGGGGAGGAGGCTGGCCATCCCACACAGGGCGCTGCGTAAAAACAGCATTAAGGACCATGACATTTTCCGTCTTTGAAGAGAGGAAAACCTATAATGTGCCCATTTTCATCTTCTAATCCGCAAATCAGAGGGAATGGAGGAGTGGGGGAGAGAAGGAGGTAGGCGGTCCCATGCATTGTAGGAAGTTTAGCACCCCAGAGTGACAGCCACATGTTCTAGAGGTAACTAAATGCCTCAATCGCCAAAAGTCAAGAGCCACTGCCTTGAAGGAAAAAAAAAGATCCCGTTTATTCGTACAACCTAAGGGCCTAGTGCAGGCCATGCTGAAACTATCCTTAAATTATCACGATCCACACTGACAGGATTGTTTTAAAGATGAATGAACTGGGCTGGCCTGAGGATATGTGCTTCCCTAAGGCCCTAAAAGAGTGAGTGAAGCAAGATCTCACTCATGTGAAATTTTTTTAAAAGTCCAGTGATTGTAAACAAAGAGGAGGAAGGTGGTTATCAGGGCAGGCAAGGGAGAGGAAATGGGGAGATTGCAGGTCAAAGAGTACAAAGTTGCAGTTATGTGAGATGAATAAGTCTAGAGATCTAAGGTACAACAAACAAGAGGACTGTAGTTAATAATATTGTCATGTATATGAAAAATTTGCTAAGAGAGTCAATTTTAGGTGTACCTCCGCCCCACTGCATACATGCACAAGGAGGTCACTATGGAAGATGACAGACATTAATTTGCTTGACCTTAGTAATCATTTTACTTTGTACATGCATATCAAAACAGCATGTTGTACGCCTTAAATATACACAATTTAAAAACTAGAAAGTGAGATATTTGGAAATTAATCCAAATCTGCCTGACCCAAGTCCATACTCTTAACCTCAAAGAGGAGGGAACTCTGTGGGTGCAGTAGGTGCTTAGAAAATTTGTCCTAGGAGATGATACACATAGAAACGTGGGGACTGAATTTTTTGAACAGAGTCCTGGACCCATGGGCTGATGACCTTAGAGATTATTGGATTTTGTAACTATCTGGGGGGGGGGGGAAGCCATATGGCCACTGGATCTTTACAGTGAGCTTCATATGTGCCTTTCTCTATTTGTTCTCTCTGTTAAATTATAAACTCCAAAGCCAAAAACCATATCTTTTCCTTCTCTGACGGCCCTCCATAGCAAAACCTAAATATCAATAACATGTTTTGCCAGAAGCCTCCCCCCACTCTTTGTGGGCCACTTGTCCTGCTTGATGGCAGAGAAACTCCTGACTCGTCGCCTTATTGGTGCACTGTGCTTAACTAAAGGACCTAGGTGGCTTGATGGCTGCCGCACAAAGCTCAGGGGAGGCACGGACTCTCGACTTTCCTAATGACACACTAGAGCTCTGAATGGACTCCTGTGCAAAAGGCCCCAGTTGTCTGCTTCCCAGAGTGACTGAGGAGAAGAAGGAGGTCAGGGCATACCCACAGACTTCCTCATCCCCAACACACACACACACACGCGCGCGCACACACCTGTCCCTGCCCACTTCTTTCTTCTCAACCCTGGAAACAAGGTTAGCGCCTCACAAGTATCCTCAGCTCTGCCATAGATTTCTCCTTGGAAATTTTCCTCTTAGCCGTTCTCTGAGCCTCTATGATGCATCAGGCACTTTCATATCTTTCTTTCAATCCTCGGCAATGCTGCAAAGTGACTGTTATTACCTCCATTTTACAGATAAGGAAATTGAGGACCAGGGAGATTATGTGACCTGCTAGAAAATTCCAGAAGCAGGATTCAAACCCAGGTCTATCTGGCACCAAAGCACTTTCCACGCCCTGGTGCTCTGTCCCAGTGCTGGACAAGACTGTCCCAGGCCCTGAGCTGTACAGTGGCCTCTTGGAGAAAGGCATTTTTCAGTCACCAGCCCAGATGTTTCTCATCTTCCTATCATATTAAATAATTCCAATTTGTTCTGCTCAGTCAAGATTTCCATTATTATCCAATTCTTTTCATCAAATTTTTCTTTCCCAAAGTGTGAACACAGATTACAAATGCATGGCCAAACTGTGAGAATCAAACTAATTAAAATTCACTCCTTACAGTAGAGATGGAAAAATACATTTTGAACAAAGGTCCAGGAGAATTAAATTTTCATTTCACCTTTGCTTTTCCTAAGACCAATTAAAAACTGTTTAATGTGCTCTCACTTGTTGATAACAGACTTACAGCACCTGGCCTGGGTCTGTGTAATCTAGATTTTTTATTAGCATATTGTGTAGAGGAAAAAAAGAAAAAGAATGAAAAGTGAAAGCAAATAATACTTTAGGTACCCTTTGATCTCAAGGCTACTCAGGGGTCACTGTACTCTAGCGCCTGTACGAATTTATATTCACATTCTACACATTCTAGATGACTTTTCAGGTCAGGTAGCATGGTGGTTTTCACACTTTTCTCACAATCTCATTTTTAAAATATCTTAACACTGGCACTCAAAGTAAACACACACACACACACACACACACACACACACACAAACTTACCCATACTTATCTACTATATTTTTGTACATTTAAATTTATTTCACATACTCAAATTGGTAACATTTATTCAAAGTCAATCAATAATTTATACTCTAAAAAGCGAATAACACCTTGTTTACAAAGTCTCATGGTGACTCTATATTGAGTTACAACGAAAACATCAAACATTTTCCAAAATTATATATACTGTAGATAACTTTATTTATAAGGCAATATAACTAAATGTTAATAACAAAGCCAGAAAACAGAAACATAAAACTCTACCATCTCAAAATTTCTTTAAATCTCTGGAATAATTCTTGATCAAAGAGAAAAATAAAACCCAAACTGCAGATTGTCCAGAGAATAATGACCACATGCTACATGCCAGGACCTGTGGAAATAGCTAAAGGAGTTCCTTAGAGAAAAATTCATAGCACTAAATATTTCTAATAAACAAGAAAGAATAAAAATAAATTAAGCTATAAAAAGAATAACATTAATGAAGACAGTAAGAAGGGATTCATAAAGATCAAAGTAATTATGACAAAATTAGATAGTAAAACTAATAAATAAACTCAAAACTTTTTTTAAAATAAAACTTCTGCTTCTGGCTCTAGAGAATGATTAGTACCAGACTAGCAGCCTGCAACCCCCGCCCCACTCTCCACAGAACAGACTGTGATCCTCAGAGAAGATAAGCTAATGAGGTAAGGAGGGGACCCCACACAGAGTACAGTCATCTTGCTGGGTTGGACATTAGAATTCAGGACAAGGCTGTTGGATTTCACAGAGCAAACTACTGAAAGGAGGGAGCTACACAGAGAAAGAGTTCCAGAAATCTCTGCAGAGGGCTTCTTGAGTCTGGCCAAATCCTAAGTGGACATGTGGGGGTGAGACTCCAAAAGCTAGGCAGTGTGTCACTACTGGGCAGGGCACAGTGGCTCCTACCCATAATCTCAGCACTTTGGGAGGCTGAGATAGGAAGATTGCTTAAGGCCAAGAGTTAAAGACCAACCTGGGCAACATAGAGTGACCCTATCTCTACAAAAAAAATTTTTTTAAAAGTATCACTACTGAAGAAAGAACAACTACTGGGGGGTTGTGAGCCAAACAATTCTCAAAGTCACACAAGGCTGAGAGATGTTGAACCAACCATACTGAAGAGACCTCATTAAACCAACCCTGGAAGGACTAGAATCTTAGAAGTAATACTAAACTAGCCACAGAACTACGGCTACTCACCTTAACAAAGATACTGACCTGAGCTCTCTAATATGGAGCGACTAACCACATGTGGCTAGTAAACACTTGAAATATGGCTGGTCCACACTGAGATGTCCCATAGTACAAAATACATACCAGATTTCCAAGAATTTGTATAAAAAAAAGAATGTAAATTATCTCATTAGTAGTTTTTATATATTGCTTTTATGTTGAATTGATATTTTGCTACAATGTGTTAAATAAAGTATATTATTAAAAATAATTTTACCACTTTTTAAAAAAATTTTTTTAAATGTGGCTACTTTTTAAAATAATTTTTTATTTTGAATTATATATGGCTTGCATATATAATTCCTAGAAGCTATAAAGGAAAAGGGTGATAAATTTATTTAATAATAATTAAAAAGTTTCTGCAAGGCAAGAAACACTGAAGACAAAGGTAAATAATGAATGACAACTTTGAAAGACTATATGCAATTGCTACTACACAGTACTGAGTATCTTCGATAACAAACTCAAAGGGGATAAAAATGTTCACTTCTTCCTAAAATTGATCTATAGATTCAATGTAATCTCCCAAATTGAAATTTCAACAGATTTTTCTGTAAATATTTGACAGAATGATTCTAAAATTTACAAATAAATGTCAAGAGCCAAGAATGAGCAAAATATCCTTAGAGTCAAGAGGACTTGCTGTATGAGATATTAAGACTTACCATTAAGCTACAGTTTATAAGACTATGTGGTTTCCACATAGGGATGGTCAAAGAGAAGACT